ACATTAAGCTAGTCAAACTAACTCTGAATATTGATTAACTAGATTATTAGAAAATTAGATCCCTGCTGTTACCCAAATCTACCGGCACATCTTGCAAAAATACTGATGGATTCACCATTTTTAGCTGAGTGAAAATAAGCAAATATCAACAGGTAGATGTTCAGTTCAGGGCCGTGCAGAGACCACTAAAGGGGCAGGTGCTCAAAAAAAAAAAAAAAGGGCACATCTTATCGCATTTTAGGACAGAATATTAACAAAGTCACATAGCTTTCAGAGTTTAATGAACAATGATAAATTACAAAATTGTGAGACATACAATCATAGCTAAGGGAAACACAAGAACAACAGCCTAATGTCTGTATGATAAAAATACTGAATCGATAGATAAGAACAGCTTTTCCTCACCTGGCTGTCTCCTCCCGCTCAGTAGTTCTTCAGAGAAAGGCGCGCCGCGTCCTATACTTTCCTCCGTTTAAGCCGCTACTCTTTGCTAAAGTAGAGAAATTATACAACGTTCAAAGTTTTCCGTTGTCTGACAAGGAGCAAGCCTACTCCAGTATTTTCACCAAAAATTATGTTTTTTAATTCACAAAAAAACTGTTCTGTAATCATTACAGAACAGTTTTTTGTGAATTAAAAAACATAATTTTCAATAGCTACGTTTACATGCGCAAAATGTCCCCGGTCCGATCCAAACCTTGGTTGATCGGAAATTCAAAATCTCCGTTTACATGGACACTAAATGAAATGATCCGATCATGACGTGTGTATACATGTACCAAGCGTTGGATCAGATTAAATCTTTTAAGCATGCGCAGAACTTCCTGCCAAACTTGGCAGTTCTGTCTGCGTCTGGTTTTTGGGAGGCCTGACAAACGATGCGCTCGGAGCGAGCGGAAAGAAAAACGGAGAGAGGAGGAAAAAAGCGCTTGGCAGCGAAATGTACGAGAGAAAATGTAGAGAATGAGCGATTGAACCGGCGTGGGAGAGCGAGTGCACTGCAAAAAATATAAATCTCAATAAGTTATTTTTTCTTAAAATAAGTGTGTTTTTCCTTGATTTGAGGAGGTAAGTAAGACACTTTGCCAATGGAACAAGACAATTTCCTTTTAAAATAAGAAAAAACTATTTTATCGTCTTATTTCAAGTAAATATTATCTAACTATCTTATTTTAAGAGTGAAAATACTCATTCCATTGGCAAATCATCTTATTTACCTGCTCAAATTAAGGCTAAATATACTTAATTTAAGCCATTTTTTACTTATTTCTGGATTGTTTTTGCAGTGTGGGCTGTGGAGAGAGAAAAGAGGAAGAGGAGGAGGATAAATTCCTGCTTCCTGCAGCTTTAAATGAACTTGAGTGTATAAGTCAGCGATCCTAGACTCCCCCCGCCATGTTGTTCACAACAAGAGCGAGAGCGACTGGTGGTTTCCTGTTGTTGACAAGGCGGAAAAACGTCACGCTGACGTCGCACACATGCGCAGTGAAGATTATTTTACTCTTAAGATCCGAATGGGTGTTTACATGGACGCCAATCAGAATGGTGATCGGCAAAAACCACCTCTCTCATTCGGAATTAAATTTAGATCCGATCGGACCGAATCGGATTAGAATCTTCAGTCTGACATGTTTACATGAAACATTTTTGATCTGATCAGGCCTTCAATCCGATTAGTTGTGACCATGTAAACGTAGCTAATGTAAAAGACTAAAAGCACAGAGTAAACAGTGTTTTAGATCAAACAATACTGCATCATCCATGGGGCTCATTTGGTTTCACTTACATCTCTATTCAGGTTGACATTGGAGAGGCGGTGCAGACTGAAGACATAGCCATCCGTCCGATCATGGTTGATCTTGCTTACGGCCAAATGAGCAGCGGCCACAGTGTAATGTGAAATGTTCGCTACCTTTAGCTCCGCAGTTAGCCGCCTTATCTGACTATGCGAGAGGCAAGTGCGTCGTCACCGGCAAAAGGTCAAAGGTAACAATGTGACCGGAGGGCTTATTGTATTGTTTTTCTTGCCAAAAAAAGATAATAATAATAATTTCAGTACATGTGTCAAATAAAAAAAAAAAAAAAAAAAAAAAAAAAAAAAAAACAACAGGACCAAAAGGGCACATTGGGATCATGGAGCAAAAGGGGCAGGTGCTCAAGCCCCCTTAGCCCCCCCCCTCTGCACGTGCCTGGTTCAGTTTAAGTAATTCAAGTATTGAATAATTTAGTTAACCTATTATTTGGGCTAAAATATTATCAGTATATTAAAAAACTAAATGGTAGAAGGTTTTCTACTTAGTGATCCTTACCAATTATTTAAAATCTTACACCATTTTGACTGTAAGCTGCACTGATGTAGAGAAGGTATTAAAATCAAATTTCTTCAAAAGCCTCTTTTTTCAGCTCGGTTATTGGATGCTGGTTTTATCGACTAAAAACTTGATGTGCTTGTTTTTATACCAAATCACAAATGACTTAATTTATCCACTTACCTCACTGAAAATTAGATCTGTGTTTAAACCAAATCGTTGGGTAGCTCTGATGATGGCCTGTTCTCTCCCTGCGATTGTTGCATCTGCATATCCAAGCCTTTTTCAAGCTGAGATTAATGAAGAACCACCTGAGTTCTTCTATGTTAAGTGAGGTGGACTGGTGCTGATTACCATGAACAACAAAGGATCTCTTACACTGATGTCATTAATGACTTTACAAAGAGGAAATCTAGGAAGTACAACGGAAGAACAGTGTGACATAATGAAATCAAATGTGTGGGTAAAGGTAGCTTGTGTTTTAAATAGAGCTTTTTCATATAGTTACATATCTTACATAGTTTTAAGAATTATTTGTTCAACTTTAAATTTCATTTAATTTTCTACTTTGTATCAGATATCCTTTTTCCATTATTTAAAAGCAAGCTTTATATCTAGTTGTTCATTTGAATAGAGATTGACTTCATTTGAATTAACTATGTCTGTTTTTATAGAGCTGAGTTTATTTTTTAAACTTATTGAATCTTTTTTATGCGTTGTTCTTTCACTGCAGATTAAACAAAAAGTATAAACTACGTGATTCTTTTACCATAAATAAACAGCATACTTGCTAATTTTTTATTCTGTTAGTAACACTAGATGATGCATGCAAATAGCAGACTGTAAACAGCACTGTCAAAGCTGCTATGAGTTTATGATAGGTGTGCAAGTGATCTGATCATCCAACTGTTATTTGCAGAAATCCATATCAAAATAAATTTTTACTTAGGGCCTCATAGAGAATTGGTCTTCAAGATGCCTTCAAACGCTTATTTGGCTCTACCGTGCATTCAGTGTTGTTTACGTTCTTTTGTAACAGGCTTGATAAGCTGTAAATAACGGTTCAATTATATCTATATGTTCTTCATTTCAGAATATTGGTTCCCACTGGGATTTACTGAAGTTCTAAGATAGCATGAATGCAAATCTGCACACAACGAGGTCAGTGTGGGTTTGCCTAAGTAGACACAAGAACCACGTAAGGCCTTAAAGGATCATAAGGGCATAAGAAAGAGATACAAGAAGATAAAAAGAAAAAATAATCAAGTAAGGAATGCTTGGTTTGTTTGAAGATATCTATAGCATCGCAGCAGCGCATGCTACATCAGATCACTTGAAGACAGTTCTGGAAAGAACACATCCATGTTGGTTTAGTATAGAGCCCCATTATGTCCTTCCAAGCTCATTTGCATTTGAGGAGCTGCAAAAAAAAGCATCCACAAGTTGCATGGTCTTCGTCTACTTCCCATTTCCCACAGAGATAGATATGATACATAAGATTTTGGTGAATTCTCACCATACCTTCAGAGCTGTTTGTAGAAGTAAGTTCACCAGAGATCAGGCCTCTGCCCATATTCACAAACACTCATGAATCCAGAGAAATGTGGCATAAAGAGAGGCCTGGTGGAGAGAAAGCTCACCTGCAATTCAAGCGGATTACTCTGCCCTTTTATTTGCTCTCGTTTGGTTGCGGGGGGAATGTGCTCCACTCTGACCTGGGGGCACTCATCCAATCAGCTCGCTATCTGCTGCAAGGGCCTCCATAATAGTGACATTTTTCCACCTCGTCAATAAAGTGGTGAAAGCCACCCTCCACCCGCTACTTGACCATTTAACTTCTTCCTGAAAAGGCTCTTTCTTTCTGTCTGTCTCTGTGTCTGACTGAAATCAATAAACGCAGCACAAGGAGAGAGGCCAATCCAACAGCTGCATTAACTGGTGGTCTTGACTGGTACAATAGGGCTGATGGCAGAGGAGAGTTGGAAGCTCCTGTCTCTCATTGATGGTACGGTGCAAGGATTCTGCTTTTGGTTTACACTATATGACAATATCTTGTAAGGAAGAGGGGACTCTAAAAGACCAATATTAGAGTATCTCACTATCTGGCATGAAGGGCCACAAACACACAATGTCAGAAAAAAAAAAAAAAGAATTTTAAAATATTCATACAGAAAAAAGGTGACAATTGTATGCAAAAAACACATTAGCGCATATCTAAACTCTGCAGTCTCTAATGATCATTGGTTGCCATGACTCATTTAGCAGCTGCATCCACACATCATGACATGTCTGCAGTGATTGACATAATGGCATCAGAGTGAGAACAAAATGTCTTCCAATAAAGGAGCAGGAGGGAGAAAATGAGAGAGATGGGTTACAACTCTGCCCGTGCTGAAATGAGTGTAGTGCTTTGTTTGGTTATGCTGTCTGAGCTGAAATTGATTTCTGTGAGAAGCATGCACCAAAGAGCTCTGCTTTCAGATGAAATAAATAACATACTCTTGTGAAGATGGGAGGGTATGTGGAAGAAGGAACAGAAGGTGGAAAATGGGATCAGGGAGGAAGGCAAGAAACAAAGATGGATAGGGTCAAAATAATTTTAGAGGGAAAAGAAAATCTGGGATGGGGAAAAAAAAAAACTGGAAGGAAATGTTTAAATATGCCATACTGAATTTCATGTGTTCAATCTAGTGCAGCGCTGAAGAGACAGCCTGGGAGACATCTGGAGTAGAGGAGGATAACAGCCACATGCCGTTCTCCAACCACAGACAACATGATGAGGGATTAAACTTCATTGCAACATGTTATGGTAATGAATGGTCTGTGGCCGATTCTGAACGTGTTAGAGTAATCACCGCTTTGTAGCATAATGTGTGAGTGACACTTTTTGGATGTGCTTGCAAATGCATGTGTCTGCCTAGGCAAGTGTGAAAATGATATGCTTTCCTACACATTGGTCAAATCAGAAGCATGAAAATTAAAACACGTAACTCTAAGGCAGTAGGTGTGGTATATAATATCTCTCATACTTTGTTCAACATTGCTCTTTAATAGAAGATGGGCTGGACTAGACCTTGTGGTCTAAAGCACCGTCTGGACATCTGGGTCTCAGATTGGTGCCAGAGAGGGAGGAGAGCAGACGCGGTTTGAAATCCCAAAGTGGTAAGGTTGACTCTGGGTCATACTGGCTGACTGGCCTTATGGCTCACAGATGTTTGTCTGCTTCAGCAAGAGTGATGTTTCTGGAAGAAATTACAACATCTTGTGCTGTGTGGTGCAATAATCTGCTCTTTTTAATGAAGATTATAAATTCATAATTTATCATCCATACATCAAAAATCCGCCAATCAAGAAGAAAAGCAAAAGCATGTTTTTGGATAATGAAGCCTTTAGAAAGCAATGAATCTGCTAGTTTCACAGTGATGAAGTGTTGTGCTGTTTGAATTGGCTGCCCTCTAAGTTCCTCCCGAGTAAAGCAGCACATCAGGATTGCTGTACGACAGCACAGAAGGCAGCCTAACAACAGACAAAACTTCAATAAAACTCAACAATAACGCATCTGTGGTGCAATGTGTGTGTGTGGGGAGGTATACATTGCAATTAAAAGACTTCAGTTGTGGTCACAACAGAAACATTGGACAATAATCATATGGTGCTGCAAAAAGTTTTCCTACATATATATAACCAAAAAAGGATATCCACAATGGCTATGAATTAATAAGTTTAAGTCTCCTGCTGCTAACTAAACAATGGAAGCAAGTGAAATTACTTTGTTGGCAGTGAGAGTGAAGTGACTCATATATTAAAGCACTGATCAAAACTTTGCAGTCTAGAAAGTGTTGTTGAAGCAAAGATGGATTGTTGTACATGAACCAAAGATAACATAGAAAGGAAAAATGTACCAATCCTGTTTCGGGCATGGCATGAGCCAGCTACCCAATCAGGTCTGTGCAGGCTCTCTCACAGGCGAATGGCATGGAACGTTGGCCCCGCCTTGCATTCCCACTGAACTGCTGTTGCCCATAATGATTTTATAAACATTTTGCCAGCAGATCAATACATGTATTGATCAGGCATTGTGAGAGTAATCCGTCTAAACCCCAGAACAGCCTGGAGCTCAGAGGTGGGAGGAGCAAAAGAGAGAGGCTGCATAGAGGATGGAGAAGTAGAGCGAGTCTGTAGCCACAGTAAAAGGGAGAAGAGGTGCAAGGTTGGAAGAGACTGAGAGAGGCGGACGCAGGGATGGAGGCAGGTGAGGAGAGAGATTGCTGGAAATGCTGCCAGGCCGCTGGGGCTGAGGAAAACAAATGGTAATTGCTTTCTCATTAACAGAGTGAAAGGGGTGAGGGCAACTGATAACTACTGAGTGAAAGTGAGCGATGACAGAAAAAAAGTGTCAATTACTAGGTAAAATTCTGTCTCTAGTTTGGCCTGTTATAGCATGTAACACTAAAAGGTATGCTGCTGCATGTGCATGTCTGCATGAGGTTGAAGGAGATTCGTAAGAGATTATACAATAAATGATTGTTCTCATGGTTTTCTTTTTAACTGCAGGTTGATTTTGTTTTTCTGTTCTTTTTTAGACAGACGCTGCGAAAGAAGACGCTGAAAAAAAAGAGTTTGAATGAAAACTACTTCTCAAAAATCTGTTGCTGCAAGAAGGTTTAGAACATATTTCATTCAAAGTGTTTAGTATATATAAGAAAACTTCTTTTCACCACCACTATGGATGAAGAACTGCACAAATGAACTGAGTGTAAAGTCAATATTATTGCTAAAAGACAAACGTGACAACATGAGGACATCCTTCAGTGTAGAGGATTGCTGCTCTTTTGTACAAATGGAGAAATTACTGGCCTATGGAATGGTTTTTACCCACTGGGAATTCACAGAATTGGATTTAATTGTTTTACATTTTAAATTAAGTAGGAGATTTACTCAAGCAAGGACTCAGTGGATGAGTCATTGCTTGGTTCAAGGCCACAATCTGCCCCTGGATGGAGGACAAGTCAACAGCTTTTGGCATTATCCCTTTTTTTCTGTGAAGAAATCAACTTTTATTGATATTTGTTTAAGTAAGAAGTATTGTGCATAATTGAGGATGATGAAAGAAGATTAAATCCTCTCATGAACTGTGGTAAAAGATCATGCTCTTTACTTAAACTCATGTTGCACTGAAGCGGAAGCAGCCATTGAAAAAAGGCCTGATGGTTCAAGTCTGTCTAGGCATCTATTGATGTACTCATTGAGGAAAGGAACCACTTGAATGCAAATCTTTGAGGGCAAAGCACCTACAGAGCCTTCCAAAAGTATTATCAATTCACATTTTTCACACCTTCTCATGGTACATAAACACATTACAATGTTTAAATTGAACTAAATGTACATAATTGTGAACTGGAAAAGCAGATGAACTGGAAAGAAAAATATTTAACCAAATAAACATCTGTAAATTGGGGAGTGCATTTGTGTTCAGATAATACTTAGTCATTAATTTTAGTACAGCATTTCACTTAAATCATATTTCCAAGTCATAAAATTAATTATTAATTTATTTATCTTTTGAAACCTACTAACTCGGGGTGGAAGCATTAAAACTTTTATGACAAGCCAGATATTCTATTTGTATTTATTTTAGGATTTTATCATTCAACACACGTGGCTTGGTCACATGACTTTGACCTAGCCACTCTATTGTAGCTTTGGCTATGTGAGGTTGTTGTTCTGTTGAAAGATGAACATCAAGCTCAGTCTCAGGTCTTTTCAATAACAGCATGTGGTTCCTCCTGGATGAACATGTGGCTCATTGTGAACGAATCCTGCAGTTAAGTTAAAAACTTGATGTAATCCGCTAAGTTTCCTTTGACAACTTTTAACCAATCTGACGGTATGGTCTGATTGAATTGTCACTGTAAAATGGCTTGAGATCATACGTGTTGTGAATTGGTGTTACATAAAATTTGAATTGAAATTGAATTGTGAGGTTTCACAATTCAATTTCTTGGATCAAGACCAAAATAGTCAGTTTTGGTCACAATAACCACAGCAATATTTCTCGATTTGTTTTAGATTTTAGATTTAGAAGAACACAACTGAACTTGAAATTCTTATAAAGATGTTTTACTCTTTCTCTGAAGAGCTTTCATAGTTTAGAGCCAGAAAGGGGGAAGTTTCAAGCTTTAGACTCTTTTGAAAATCCATTCTAAATATTTGAGTTTACAATCATCTTAGACAACCCTATACAATCAAGCATTGTATTATTAACCCCTGAAGAAGTATGTGTATTTGTTTGACATTGACTGAGCAACAGGCTCTAAACTGGGCTGTGTGATTTTGAAAGATGAAATCTGAGTCCTCGACACTGTTTAGAGTCTATTTCTCTCTTTTGACATAAATGACATTATATCCTTTTTAAAACATTCTATTTGTAGATGCAGAGTTTAGGCTTCTCCTGAGAGTCTGGCTTTTCACTGATGAGCCATACTTCTATGGATAGCCAAATTTAGTTTCCCCAATAGAGTTCTGGGCATTCGTGGTTGCACTAACTGCATTGGTCCTTGAGATAACATTGGCTCTGTCTGAGGGTTTGGATGGTTCTCAAGCAGATCAGTATGTTTTGTTTGGAGAAAAGTCCTCTGTTTCAGAAGTGATTGCTGTACAATCTGAGAAAGACTGCATGTCATTTGGAAACATGCAGAATGGCTCTTCCCCAAACAGCTTGAGGCTTGGAGCTACTCCTTCACCATCTCTAAACCAGCTGTTTGGACAGAAAGAACCTTTCTTCAATAATCGAATTTAAAATACAGTCATGTATTTCAAACATTTTGAATTTGCCATGCCCTGAAAGAAATGGGAAATTAACCTTCAGCTTATGGCAAAGAGCAAGTGAGCCTCCCTCCCTGTAAAAAAAAGCTTACTTTTGCCACTTTCCTATAAAAAACAGATTACCGTAGTAGAGTGCAAAATGATAGTCGTCATGAACGCCCTTATTTGTGCTGTGGTTCTATGCAACTCCCTCATGGTTTGTAAGCATGTAACTTACAGCTGCACCATAAGTTAAGACCAGCAATATACCTATATCATTTGTTCCACACTTAGAATGTACTAATTAGGTATTAATTGCTCAAAGATTTTAGATAACACGTCTGGAAAGAACAGATAGTTAGTCACAGTAAAAAGAAGCTACACCCTCTGATGATCCAACAATATAAACATATAGAGGGCTTGAACAATTCAAACCAAACTTCCAATAAAAAAACCTTACCACAGATTCTACAACAAGACAATTTCTTAACAAATGAAGTTAAAACATGAATATAATCTATAGATATTTTTATACAATGTCCAGCCCTATAACTTCAAAAAGTTTTTATTGGCAGCCATTTAGACTTAGACCATATAAAAACTCTCTGCAAGGGCTGTTTTCTTTTTTTTTTTTTTCTTTTTTTTTTTCTTTTTTTTTTGATAATTATACATTTCAAATGACTAGGAAGAAGTAAGGTTTTGTCATACTTTATGTACTTTTTAAATGTTTGTTGTTGAAGTATTAATATGTATTACAGAAAATTATTTGCACATTAGTACTGCTGTTTTTTTTTTTTTTTGGCAGCATAATGCAAAACCAGTAAAATTAATTCAGAGTGACAGCTGTCTTTCTTTCATACTTAAAGTAAATCATCATGGTTCCATTTTTATTTTTCATTACAAACTGTACTGAATTGAAATGAAACCGACTTATGAAGAAAAAAATGAAGTGCTTCTTCATTTCTTTTGCAGAGCTGAGCTACAACACATATAAACACATATAACACAAATCAATTAGCAAATCTTCTTAACTGATCTAGATTAAGGTTTAGTATCCACAACCCAAAAGAACTTTAATAACCAACTGAAAACAGATAAGGATAACTAGTCTTTATCTTTTGTCTGTGGAAAATGCTTCACTTAATTTAAAGAAATATTTCAGGATTAGTTAATCAGTCTAAAAAAATCTGTAGCTTTATTCAACTCAAAAAGGCATTTATAGCATCATTTGCACATTGTTTTATGATCATTGCCTCTCAGTGTGGCAAGTCCATAAACGATCATAATAAGGTAAGAATAACTAGCAACCAGAACAAAACTTTCAAAAAGTTTTTTGTTACTAGACGCCATTTGCCTTTCACCAATACTGGTGTTGCCTGTTTTCTATAATTATTATATACAGTATAACTGCAGAAAAAATGTGCTAATGAACATTACCATTTCTCATAAAGACTTAATTCATGTGCTATTAAAGCGAAATTTGCACGCAGAGTCACTTTCCCTTTTCTATTCATCGTTTTTGGTGAATTCCTTCTGTCAAAAACAAACCTTTGGATGAGCGCCAAGCAGTAAATTAGGGTATTCATTATACGTATCAAGCATAAATTACTATTCAATTAACAAGCCACTTGAGCTGAACTAATCAACTAATTAGGCCATGTGTGTACACAGAAAAGCTAACAAAAGCTTATGAGTCCCCTGGGAAAGCAGTAAAATCCAGAGGAAGAATGACAGCAAGGATGAAGCAACTGGTTTTGGTGGGAAAAAAACTAAAAGCCACCAAACGTTTGGTGTACATTTAAGCTGTAAATTGTAAATATTACTGTGTTGATGCATTTATTTGATCAGTTTTAAATTAAAATTAAGGCCAGTTCCACCTGATATGTAAAGTAGATTGAGAAAAAATCTGTGTTTATCTTAAGTGGCTTACAAAAAGATTTCAAAGAAAATGTGCTAATAATAGGAACATAATAGGAATTTTTTTTTCTGCTTGATTTGTACAAGTTTCAAAAAGAGTTGGTGCAACTGAATTAAGTTAAACAACACAGTGATCTCTTACTATTGACATAATGGTTTAAATACTATACACCAAAGATTCTTCAAAGAAGTGGAAGATACTTATTTTTCAACTTACTGGTGAAGTTCACCGAGTTAAACTCTAAGTTGAGCCTTATAGCCTTTATAATAGGGCTGTTTTGTCAATTCTGAACATACCTATGGTCCAGAGCTTCTTCAGGGGGAAGAACAGGCTTGAATATTTTCTTCACAAGCCGACCAGGCTGCAACCTGAGGAGAAACAAGCATGAAATGTGAATGCATTTATATAGAGAAAGTAGACAGAGTAGTGCTGTGTTAATCATTGTTTTTTTTTACAGAGTATAAAAAAACAGTCTGGAGTAATAAACTTTGGACCAAAAGTGTGATTAAGATATAAACTGATTGAGACAGTTCTAAGCATTCCACCCATCATATCTAAATGTCTGAGGTCTGCTGCCACTCCACTAAAGGCCAAAGGCGGCTATTTGGAGGAGAACACAATTATTGTACCAGTAAATGTCAGAACAGACCCATCTAATTGTGCCATTACTAATTCATGTTTATTAATGCTTTGATGTATGGTGGCTCCACAGACAGACTGAGTTTGTCTCTGATTTTCATGTATGGCTTATTCTATGCTGGTGTCAGCTGCAGGGAGAGTCTGTAACTGTAGGGCTGGGTGGTGGGTGTGGGGTGGAGGGAGAGCCTGATCAGCAGTGCCAACCAGGGTGTGACTCAAGCGTAAAGACAGTTGACTGATGAAGCTGGTGCCTTTTGCTGGCCTAGTGCCAGGGGCCCCAGGTCCCCAGTGTCCCAGCCGCTCTGTACCTCAGAGCCTCTGGGCAAAAACAACAGTTATTGTTTTCACTGCCAACCAATTAGCAACACTTATGCTTTATTTAGTCATGCTCTAATGTGGGCTAATTAGCTCACATTAGTGTTTGACTACATTAGAGCATCACCTAGTCCCTCACACCAGCACAAGGCATCAGCTGGGCGAGAGTACGGGAATGTAAGCAAAGAGGAGGGGGTGGAGAGGGTGGGAACATAAATGGAGGTGGGGCTAAGCTGGAAGGATTACAAGCGCACCAACCCAGCTCTGTGGATCAGCACTTTTTAACAGATCTTCAGGGGCCTGTTGGCTGAATGCATAGCAGGAGAAAAGGGCAAATACAGCCCAGTTACAGTTTTATAGAAAGCTTTGTGGAAAAACACCCCTGACACACACCTCGGTCTGGCAGCTCGGTTTGTCATGTGGCCCAGGGGGGTCCGCTGGCCTATCACATGACCGTTGTAATGACCTTAAAGGGCATCTTCCTCAACAAGCCCAGGCCACTCCTACTGGCTGAACTGTTCAGTAGAAAATACAGCTTGGGTCACTGCATAATTTGATGCATCTGGCCCTCAGGGTGGATATTAAAGCAAAAAACAAGATAATCAACGTAGAGTAAAAACCAGGCCAGGAAGATATGAGCAAAAGCTGACAAGCAGGGTATAAAACAACCTAGTGTTTTGGGAAATTTGAATTGCTGTGGCATTAATAAAGTGGCATGTTAAATACTTTCTTATGAGTTGGGATTTGTGTGAGATTATTAAACTAACTTCGGCTTTCTTTATCTAGTATACTCAAAAGAATCATCTTTTTTTGAAGAGCAATAAAAAGTGCTGTATATAGCTCAGTCGCTATATAAGCTGAAAAAGGTCAAAGTCATGTCAAAGGTCAAAGTCAGGTTCAACTGCATTTCAGGGGTTTAAGGGGCATATAGGATATTTGGTCACTAAATATTAAAAACAGACAAAAAAAGATTTCACCATATTTCTGTCAAGGAGAGAAAAAAAGAATGACATACAAAAAAATAAATAAAAACCCTGCTGATGCAAGGGATGAGTCACAGTTTTTTGGTATTTACATTTTTTATTAGTGTCTGCACTCCCATATTTGTATTGCTCGTCTCCCTCATTACCTAAAACTGCTATCCAACATGGACGTAATTTTTGGCTGGGATGGGGGTTACATGTCCCCTGCAATTTTTAAATATCAGTTTGGTCCCCTGCACGTTTTACTGTACAAAAACAATGTTACGGTACAGTACACGGACATTCGTCGAGTACTAGGACCATGCGGGAAAAACATGGCTCAAGCTGAAGCCCACTTCCCTGACCTTAGACCATTAGTTGCATTAAAAAATACTTGCATCCCCCTACTTCTAAAATCAAAATTTGTCCATGCTATTGAATATACAAAGTCAGGGCGATAAGTGAAATATCACTTTTCGTTTTGTCTCTGGGGCAGTGATACTCAGAGCCAATCACAACTTCATGAGCCAACCCATCACCTTTTTCATCTCAAATGTCTACCATTATCTTGCTAAAAATCAGACACATCTCACTATTGTTAGCTAGTGTCAACTGTTCAGGACAGTAGCAGAGGTTATTTAAAGTAGACATGATCTATCTTGGAATCACATGTGCAGAATGAAACATTCAGCCTCAGTGTATGTGGTAAATGAGCTCAAACAAAGCTTAGTTGTGAAGCTTTAATGCTGAATGTTTAGCAAGTAAGTGGCTCCTTATGTTGCAGGTAAATTTGTCTGTCATACACAAGGCTTTGTATTACCGAAAGCAATAAAAAAGCAACTAAATGCAAAATTTAAGCTCACTTCAGAAAGGAAACTCGGGTAGTTACACACTCTTGATTTCACTGGTCTCCAAAGGCAACTGTTTCACTGTTGGCTCACGTATAAAAATGAGCTGGGAGAGGGATAATGTCCTCCTAGTAACAAAGCCAAAGCCAGTGAGAAATATGAATAGGACTCAGAAGGGCTGAAATTACATGACAACACGAAGGTTGTGGGTGTAAAAAAATGACACTAGGCTTTTTATAATCTCCAGGGGTAGGAAAATCTTACCAAAAGAAATACTATTGAGGACCAATGGCATGTTTACAAGGTAACAAAAAAAATCCTATTTATATTTTATGCAGGTTAGTGGATATTTTATTTATAAAGTATGTAATAGTGTATTTATTCAAGGTAAAATAGAGATAATATGACTTTAGTTTTTGGCAAAAAAATGTGTTTATTTTGAACCTAAAAATTATGTTTGATGTATTTTTTTTCTTTGTGATGACTGTATAAAGGGCTATAAATTATCTTATGGTACACATTATTAAAAAACTACTATTACTCTTAATAAAGATTGCTCATGTGTGAGCTGGCAGAGTCACTAAAGACTCCTGGACGGGTGTAGAAACATTTTCAAAAACTGAGAGAAAGTCTGGTTGCTGCCGATTTAAGCCTGTTTGAACTTTTAAGGCAGTGGCTATATTGTTCTCTGCAATTAAGCTTCTATAATTTTCTGAAAAAATGGGCTGTTTGGTGCATTTTTTTAACATTAGCAAGTGTTTTGTCAGCCCTGATTGTTTTATTCTAAGACTAAACAAGTAAGAAAGAAAATGTATGATTTAAAATTAACTGGCCATAAGACCATGTTTGTATCCAATACCGACTTTAAGAAATGTCAAGAAGTCTTTATGTTTTATTTGTATGTTTTAAATTTCTCCAAATACTTATAAAATTGCTGTTAAACGCAAAATTCACAAACCTCTTTAGATTCAAGGTAAACTTTTTGTATTTTACTAACATGTTTCTTTAACATGTTGCTTCCAGTAATATGTTAAAATGATGGAAGTGATTGTGGGCCAGCCAAAGTCCTGATTGAATCTGACAGAGTGTGGTGAGAGCTCTGGATTAGGCTGATGGCAAAAAATGCTTTCATACCTGAACGCTCATCACCAAATCTAAACTGTTAAAATTAAAGTGTAAAAAGAGTTAGACTACTATGATACCATTGTCTAAATTCCGTCGATTACTGAGGAGAGAATGAATAATTTTTGAAAGGCCACTTTTAAATCAACAAACATGATTCTCCTTTACATAGTTTTATTTTCTTTTAAAAGATTATTTTCTAACTTCTTGGTAAAGTGAATTGGTTAGATTGCCTCCTCATCTTAATTTGCAATGGGTATGAATCATTTTCAGCCTTTATTTAAAATGGGGCTTCTTTTTCTTTCTTTTTCTTTACATTTCATCTGCTGTTTCTTCTTTTGGAATTAGAACTCTTTTTCTCCATGAAATAAGCCCCTAAGAGTCTTTATTGGTTCAAAGAGCGTGTATATATTCTCTATTAAACGATATAATTAATAAGTGTATTTTGGTAAGACCTATACTTACACGGCATCCAAGAAATTTTAACTTATTTAATCGGTCTTTGTAATGTTGCACATATTTTTTTTCTTTTTGCACCTCTAAAGTTTGATGCAGGTTTACAGGCTAAGGTTAGGGTTCATATGAGCTAATTTGCATCATATCATTATAACATTCATAGGCTGATTTTGCACACAATCATTTGTAGACAAACTACACTTTGAAATACACACCACATAGTGATTATTTTACTGCATTAGAATATGTGTTTTAATTGTGTTTTTGAATCCTTTCTTAAACCCAATGAAAGGTATTTTTTTCGAAAGTCTTAGTGCTCTCTTTAGCTTTTTCTGTTTCCATCTGTCTAAATCCTCTCACTTGGATAAATACTATTTACTTATCTGCCCTTGAATGTCACTTTAATAGGTTGGTAAAAAAAAAGAGAACTCTTAATTTTGTATGAGAATGAATAGATTGCTGCATGGGAGTTAACGCCTTTACCTTTAAATAGCTAAACTGACTTCAAATTGTAACGTATTTAATTTTCATTAATGAGGCTAAATTAGAAACAGTACCTATATGAAAAGCAAAGGCTTAGTCAGGCACCTTTAACACATTGTATCAATAATACATTAATATTATGGAACAATTGTGGTCTTACTAGCTCAGTTTTTAAATATGCAATATAGTTGAATGTTATGGTTCAATAACGATCCAATCTGTAATTTTTCCATGTTCAATATTTTGGGCAAGAGTTACCTTGTTTACAGATTTGCAGCAGTTTTCTGAAGGACTTGCTTCGTGTAGAACACCATAAAACAGCAGGAAATCAACTGTTCTATCCAGCATGTCAGTGGGAGGACATGCTTTCCAAAAAAGCCTGAATATATTATTATTTTTGCTCTTTTCTCACTTTCAATTTTAGTTATTATCTATTATCATGCATGCATAATGTTGAAGAGGGTCACAGGATAGTTCTGTCTTAAATGTTATATTTCCATGATTGGTTCATTCTCTCCGTTTCCTGTTTATTGTGTGGAAGGA